GGCGCGGCCCCTTCGCCGGCACCGACGCGCAACGCGCCGCCGACGTGAACGCGATGTTCGCGGACGACACGGTCGCCGGCATCCTGGCGCTGACCGGCGGCTCGGGCTGCAACCGCATCGTCGACAAGCTCGACTACGACCTCATCCGCCGCAAGCCCAAGTTCTTCGGCGGCTTCAGCGACCTGACCAGCCTCGTCAACGCCATCCACCGCCAGACCGGCCTCGTCACCTTCCACAGCCCGGTGGCCGGCTCGGAATGGAACGACTACTCGGTGCAGAACTTCAAGGCCGTCGCGATGAACGCCGAGGCCGCGCTGCTGCGCAACCCGGTGCCACCCGCCGGCGACGACCTCGTGCAGCGCGAGGAGCGCATCTCGACGATCCGCCCGGGCCGCGCCCGCGGCCGCCTGCTGGGCGGCAACCTGACCGTGCTCGCGTCCCTCGCCGGCTCGGCCTACTTCCCCGACTGCCGCGGCGCGATCCTGTTCCTCGAAGACATCAACGAGTACATCTACCGCATCGACCGCTGCCTCTCCACGCTGCGGCTGTGCGGCGCGTTGTCGCAACTGGCCGGCGTCGCGCTGGGCCGCTTCACGAAGTGCGAACCGGGCGAGGGCTACGGCAGCTTGACGCTGGACGAGGTGTTCGACGACTACTTCCTGCCGCTGAACATCCCCGTCTACCGCGGCGCAGCCATCGGGCACATCCGGCGCAAGATGACAGTGCCGGTGGGAGCGGCGGCGGAGATGGATGCGGACGCGGGGACGATCAGGTTGCTGGGGGCTGCGGTCGCTTGAGGGCACATGAGCTGATGCGAACCGGCTGACCTATGGCTTCGCCGACCCGAGCCAATTCAGGTCGCAGGCTGGGCGGGAGAGCCACGGTGGAGGACCGACTCAACCTGAACGAAGCCCACCAACCGGCTTCCTTCACGAACCTCGTAGCGCAACCCCGGAATCAGAACGCGGGCCAATGGCTCGTGATGAACGTACGAGATGGTTGCACTTGCGGCTTCACCGAGCGCCACGGTGCCATCGTCGAAGACAACATTCCCGATGACCGTGTAGCCGAGCTCGGCGATGTAGTGATTCGGACGAACGTTGGAGAGATAGCCCCGAGTCTTCCCGCTCACCTCACCGGGGAGGAGTTCGAAGCGAACCTTCGCAACCAAGGGCGCTTCCATCACCGCTGCGCCGCCACCCAGTCCGCCAACGCATCCAGCACCGGTCGGCCCTTCTTCGCCGCCTCCGGGTGGTTGAGCAGCGCGACGAAGACCCAGGGCTTGCCATTGGCGTCCGGCACAAAGCCCGCCAGGCCCACCGCATCGCGCAGCGTGCCGGTCTTGAGGCGCGCCTTGCCCGCGGCCGGGCCGTCCTTGAGGCGGCGGGACATCGTGCCGTCCAGG